GCTAGTTAATATTATTGTTTATTGATAGTACTTGAGCACATTCTTTTCCAATTTTTACCACGGCATCTATCACTATTAACCTCGTTTATATGCAATATAGCTAAATAATCAGTCAAATTTAAGAATGACGGCTATTCTACAATAAAACACCTCGTTCGTAGCATAATTGAAGATAATAAGAATTTTACAGAATGTCGCCATCAAGTGTTTTAGAGGCTATGTATGACTGGTTGTATAACTATATTATACCGGGTGGGGCATTTATCTGAAGACAAAATAATATCTCGGTTGGACTCGATTATTTCGACAAATGTTTCAAACAAAAATTGTAAGGCACCGAGGGGGCCATTGGTAGGTTCATATTACGACTTCCTGTCTAGACGACCGGAAGTGGTGTTTTAGACCGGAAGTTGATTTTTTTAATGGAAACACCCATTTTTTACCAAGGATTTTGATTGAAAAACGAAAAAAAACTTTTTGTTATTTATTCGATTTAACCCATATTTTGGTCATAAAATGGCCTTAAAAAAAGCAAAATAAACAAGAATCTTGAGACGCCGGAATACCTTGTTGGGATAACTTTTTCACTAATCACTAAGGTCATGTCAAGACAGCCCCCTTCTCACCCTACAACTTTTGTATGAAACATTTTTTAAAGAAAAGTGATCCCAACAAGGTACTGCGTTGTCTCAAGATTCTAATATTTTGTTTTTTTATGGTCATTTTATGGCCAAATTTTGTTTATTTGTTGTTCTCAAAATTATTTTTTATCTGCAGAATTAAAATAGCAATATAAAAATGAATGCAATTAAAGTTTCGAATTTATACGCGTTTTTTTTTTCATTTTAGTAACATACTACTCGTACAGGACAACGTTAAAATGTTGTTACACTTGTCACAATGGTAACTAGATAGAGATAAGTTCTAACTTAACACATATTTCACATGTTTTTTATAAACGTTATGTTTGCAAGTTATTGCTTAAACGTATCGAAACAAAATTTTCAATTTTTTATTATTAGTCAAATATTTTTCTTTATGGAGATAAATGGAAAAAAAATTAAAATGTAACGGTTTGTGGATTAGACAGAAGTGACTCACATGGAAAATCCATTAAAGGGGGAACTGTCCAGACATTCATAAAATTATTCATGCTGGAATAACCCAAAGTTACATGGTTATTACCCTTTATTACAGGACCTTTTCAGAACTGATTTTTCTACTCACATGTGCAGTCTTTAAATTTACTATATCTGAAAAAATTCTATCAGGTCATATTATATTTACTGGTACATATTTCAAATTAAATGGGGTAATATTATCTCTTAAACCGCCAAAGATAAAGAGAGATGTGTTAAATTGAAACAGAATTCAGTGAATATATTGTAATGCGTGGTGATAATAGTTTAAATAACTAGGTGGATTTCACAGGACCTAACGACACATAGAGTGCATGGTAATTCAATAAACATAGAAATCTAAACAAAAAATTTATATAAATTTGAAACGAATACATTGAGGATGAATTTTTCGAGACAAAACATCTGAATCTGGTTCGGGTTGAGGCAGTACAATATTGGGAGTCATGAAGGCTTGCAAGAAATGTAATAAATTTTCCAGGGTCGTATTTAAAAAAATGAAGTCCTGGAATGACGAAACGTTACATATAAAAATTAATTGTGCCATTCGCTAGAGGGCAAAAAGTTGCCATGAAAAAGTGTTTTTATTTAAGGATGAAATGAATATGGATTTCCAAAATTTCGGGTTTTTTCAAATATTTCGAAAACTAATCATGTTAGCCTTGATTTTTTAGAGGCATGATCTTTACCTTCATTTAAGCTAGTTTCTATTTCTGACCGTTTTCGAGATCCCTGTAGTGAGAAACGATTTTGTAACAGCCTGTATATACCTACAATATTTAAATATTTTTATTTCTACATATAATGCTATAATTTACATATTCCATCAATAACATTTACAATAATCCTTTACAGTTAATTTACTATTACGACCTTTAGCTTATCTTCTGAAATTTTAGTTTATAAACATAAATTAAATTAATTTATCTCTCAGACAAGTAAATCTAAGGAAGCACATAAAATCAACCCAACCAAGAAGACGTCGGTCTACTAGACGGCGTCGCTTATAGAACCACAGGCGTCCGTCACTGACCTAGTTGCTTTCACGTCAGACCCTTGCGTCTTTTTCTGTCGTTATTGATTGCTGCTTACTCTTATCGGAACTTTATGTGTGATACAAAGTAAATACAAATTTTTGACAAATATGTGACGGTACTAAATTATTTTGAGTTGGCATAAATATTTGTGAAATAATTAAAATTCATCAGGTTATTTTTTTATTTATTATTTGTTGTATTAGCTGTTGTAACACAAACATTTTAAATCACCCCCCAATCACAGTAATTTTTATTTTATGAATATAACTTATAAAATTGGAATTATCATATAATATTGAGGTCAAACTAAGACAATGCTTTGTCTAATTTACATAAAATTTGGTGCAAGTGGAATTTGCTTATTCCCACGCCGCTTTCAATGATCTACCGCATATAGCGACGTGTTTCCACTCCTAGGTTTGGTTTCATATAGATTAATTTTCAGTTTGCATATTATATTATCCGTTTAAACGACGCGATTTCACTGTCCCTTGACACCCTTGGCATGTTGCTATAACCTACTTATTACTTATTTATTTAATTTTTTAATATCTTTTTTTATTTTGAACTGCCCGACATAGGATTTGTTATTAATTATACAGGGTGTTTCATAACTCTACCGACACAGAGCAGGCATGTGTAGAGGATCTTAAAATATGCCGATTTGTTATGTAACTTTTTTTTCTGGGATGGACCCTTGAGGATATAATATCAGCCTCTGAGGATGTGTTACATTTTAAAAAACAATAATATTTCAGCAATGCCTTAACGAATGCAACGAACAATTTGGTACATGATTTGTGTTTGTCTTTAATTGGCAAAAATATGAATTTGTTAGAAACTCAACAACTAGGAGTAGGACGCCCTTAAAATGATATTGATAGGTGCGATTTGTTGGATTGAATCCGGAATTGAATGATACAAAATGGGCGTTTTATTGCAAGGATATTCGGAATCCGATTGCAACTTTTGCTTCTGTAGTTTAAGACGGAATTATTAGAATTGAGTGGGGGGAGGGGGACTGAGGAGATCAAATTTGTGAGGTTACTTGGGTGTAACAGTCAGGGCGCTTAAAGACTTTAAGTTTAACAAAATACACTTGTTCATATTATAAAGGTATCTGTTAAATGTCAGATTTGAATCGAATCGTTTTATTGATAAATATCATCCAGAATCCAATAAATCCAGGATTGACGCAACAAAACGCACCTGAAGTTTTTATCAGTACGCCAATTATTAAATAGTTTTACCAGTATCACAGGAAATTTAATTTTAATTTTTTTTGCTCTTACAAATTTTTCGAAAAAATAACGGTTTTTGAGAAAATCGAAAATCTGACAAAAAAGTAAAATATGAAATTTTATGACTAGTAGGCTATGATTTCATGTATCATTTTTGCTGTTTACAAAGTGCATATTATCATATGTTATTCCATCGACTTGAAAAATGCTTGCAAAATTTCGTGAAAAACTGCATACTTTACTTTTTTCCGATTCAATTAGTAATGACGCTGTTTAACAAAATCCCGATTTTCTCTAAACCTTATTTTTTCGAAAAATTTGTAGGAGGAATAAAATTTTAAAATTAAATTTCCTGTAATAGGTACTGGAAAAATTATTTAATAATTGGTAAACTGATAAAAACATATCATTTTAAGGGCGCTCTACCCCTAATCTGGCCCTTATTGGTCTTCCAACAAATTCATATTTTTACCAATTAAAGGTAACAATAAACGCAAAAAATGTACTAAATTTGGTTGCTCTATGTTAAGACATTGCTGAAATATTATTGTTTTTCAAAATTTAACACTCATCTTCAGAGGCCAATATCTCTTCAACAATACGAGCCCAGGCTCATAATAGTTCGGCCGGCCAACGTTTTTAATTAAATACTTGAATAAATTACAAATTCTACCAAAATGATGAAAGATTTCCTTAAAACTACCTCATTTGTAATAAAGTATAGACTATCAATTTCCTAAATTTAATCACTTTTGACAAAATTCAAATTGAGGAAAACATAGTTAACAAAAATGCAATCCAACCAATGGGTCATTATAGTTCGGCCACTTATCATATCTGCCATGAAACTGATATACTCCATCAAAACAAAACACATACTGAGTAATTGACAAAATATCTGTCATTATTAGTTTTACACACGTTTTGCTTCAGATTTAACGTAAAATGCCTCGTGGTAAACCTCTAAGTAAAGATTTACGAGTTTCTATTATAAAAGCCCATGAGAAAGGTATTTCGGCCCGCCGAATATCAGTTTCTCATTCAATTCCGCGTTCTACAGTGCAGGATATTATTAATTTATACAGAAGAACCGGCGGAGTCGACCAAAAAGTCAAAACCGGCCGACCATCTACAATTACAGAAGCAAATAAAAGAGCTTTACGCAGAATAGTAAAAACAAATCGGCGGTCCAATACTAAAGAAATAACTGCACTATGGAGGGACAGTATAGCAAAGCCTATTTCAATGTCCACAACGAAAAGAACTATTCGAAAAATAGGATTCAAGTTTTACAAGGTAACTTTTTATCTTTTTTTTCTTGTTTAAATTCTTGGCAATTTTTTATTTTTTTCCAATAGGCAAAAGAAAAACCTCTATTAACAAAACTGCAGAGGAGAAACAGGTTAAAATGGGCACGAGAACATAAAAATTGGACGAATCAACAATGGCACAGCGTAATTTGGAGCGATGAGTCAAAATTTGACGTTTGTGTAGGTGACACACGAAAACGGGTTTTGCGTACACCTTCAGAGGCCTATCATAGCGATTGTTTAGTCAAAAAAGTAAAGTTTCCAGCATCTGTTATGGTCTGGGGTTGCATGTCTGGTAGAGGTGTTGGTAAACTGCATTTTGTTGATGGAATTGTTAACGCGCAGAAGTACAGAGATATTCTGGAAGAGAGTCTGTTACCATCTGTTGAGATGTGTCAAACGGCGGAAGGGCATTTCATATTCCAACATGGCGGTGCACCGTGTCATACGGCAAAAACTATTAAAACGTGGTTGCAGAATCATCAAATACCAGTATTAAAATGGACATCTTCCAGCCCAGATTTATCTCCTATTGAGACCTTATGGCACAATATGAAAAAACAGCTTCGGAAACATCCAGCACGTTCAGTGCCTGAATTAAAAGTCACAGTACTGAATATTTGGGATAATATTCTACCAGAAGAATGTGCTTTGTTAGTAAATACAATGTCTAGCAGAATTAAAGCAGTTATTAAGAACAAAGGCGATGTAACTCAATATTAAAGAGTGGCCGAACTTTTATGACCCCTGAGACGGATAAAGTTTTCTATTGTGTAACCATTAGTCGATATATGTATTGAATAAAATGTTCATTTTTGTAACTAAAAAGTTTATATTTTACTGTAATTAAAAGGGTTTTCAGAAATATTTCGTTATTTCTGCATAATAATTCATAGATTATTAAACTATTTAGTTGAAAACGTTGGCCGGCCGAACTATTATGAGCCTGGGCTCGTACATCCCAGAAAAAAATGTTACATAACAAATTGGCATATTTTAATATCCTCGTACCTGCTCTGTGTTATGAAACACCCTGTATGGGTCTACAGTAATTTTTCTACGGGCATCAAATTTCTGTGTTAAAAATTATCATTTATCCTGTCCTTATTTTGGTATGAAACATAAATTTAGGGATTTGAAAATTTCAGAAATTAAACCAGTATGTTATTGCTACATATTTAAGAAAATGATCAACACAAAGTTCACAGTCAATGTATTTTAATTAATAATCTCTTCCTGTTTAACATCTTCAAGGGCGCTTGCAAGTATAGATTTTAAATATTTGTATTTAACTGGAGTTTAAAACTAAAGAAAACTGTTGTAAATCTAAATCGGAATGTTTTCGCTTAAATATTTGTATCCTTACAAAATAGAAATTAATTCTTTTTCTTGTTACAGAAACAAGCAATGTTAGTGCGGCAATTGGAAGAAGAATTGCGAATGAGAATGCGAGGTCCCAGTATCGAAATGCAACAGCAAATGGAAGCTTTATATCAAGAAAATGAACATCTGACAAGGGAAATTGCTATTTTGAGAGATACCATAAAGGTACTACAATAGAGATCTTATTAATTCAGTGATATTAATAATGACCTAAATTTGTAATAAAAATATATGCTGTTACAGGTTTCACGATGATTTTATATTTCATACCTCAGTGACCTCCATCTAAGAATTATATAATTGTAAATTAGTTTTTTACTTTCTACTGGAATAAACTAATAAATTCTCTGATAATCCTTCCTGCTTATAAGTTAGTTATTCTTTACAGGAATTGGAGCTTCGCATAGAAACACAAAAGCAAACACTGCAGGCGCGGGACGAGAGCATCAAGAAACTGTTGGAGATGTTGCAAAATAAAGGCATGGGTAAGTGGTTCTTTCCTATTTATCCCTTACTTGCTTTTCCTTGCACAATATCTGTTTACCTTTGGTGTACTTCTGTATATCTGGCGGCGGCGTACGGAGAAGTGTCTTACATAGTTACAGTGCCAAGGCCCACTCTGACAGTCATCCTTTAACATTGACATAGAGGTGTTAGATGTCTGCCTTTGTAGTGGTGATGGTGCTAGTAGGACTAATGCCGCGGGTGTTGGATCTGTTCCAGGTAAAGAGGAGGAGCGACAGATGTTCCAACAAATGCAGGCTATGGCGCAAAAGCAGGTGCTTATCATTCATATGTTTTAATTAGTAAAGATAGTCGTGAATGTGAGAGTATGTGTGACCGTGGTTGATGTTCATATCATCTGGCACATAATCAAGATACCCCAAATTCATTTAGCATGTTTGGTGTTATCATTCTGTTAGTTGTTATTGCAATTATAATACCAGTCGCCACATCGAAACACTATTGTACATCGGCATTCCAAGATTTAATAAGTCGTATTATCTCGTAGTTTGATAGATCAATTTCTCTGAAAATGAACGTAATTGTAATTATGGTAATAGTTCATTTGCAGAAAAAAATCTGAAATATACTTATTAAATATTATAAATATTACAAATGTATTTTCATTTCTCATTTACTTGAAGACCTATATATATGGTATTTCGATGCGGACGGTAATCTTGGTAATGTGTCAATGACGATGGTGGTGGTAAAGCAAGCAGTGAGCGGTGAGCGGCCGGCCGGTAGCAGGCAACCTTGTGACCGCTGGTTGTTCCCTGTCTGTGCAGGAATTGCAAGCGGCAAATGAGACATTGCGCACCCTACAAAACCAACTGGAGCTGGTGCCCTCGCCCTCCAGCAGCACAGTCCGTGTGCTCCTGGATACGAAAGACGCTAGAATAGCGACTCTAGAACGCGAGGTTAGACTGCTGGAGAGCGAGGTGGAACGGCTGGGCGGGGGCACCCATCCTCCCCCGCCTGCTCCCGCGGACTCGCCGATGGTGCTGCCGTTTAAACGACAAGTAAGTTTTCTGTTGAACGATGTGCAGATCGGAAAGGATGGATCCGTTATTGGTAGACTGTAACTAGGTGTAAAGACTCTCCGGCCGCTTGGCGCTGAGTTCAGTTTTACCACCTCACTGTCTCTCGGCACGCATGTGTCCCGCATGGATAGTGCATGCCTCCGCTCATGTGTGCAGCTGGACGAGTTCCGTGTGGAGATCCAACGGCGAGACCAGGAGATCCTAGCCATGGGGGCCAAGATGAAGACCTTAGAGGAGCAGCACCAGGACTACCAGAGGCACATCGCCGTACTCAAAGAATCTCTCTGTGCGAAGGAGGAACACTACAACATGCTTCAGACCGACGTGGAGGAGCTACGGCAACGCCTGGAGGAAAAGAATCGCCAGATAGAAAAGAAGACTCAACAGCACCAGCAGGAAAGGGCGAGAGCAGCTGCTGAAATTGCAGAACTAAGAGAGCATATGGATATTAAGGACAGAAAGATCAACGTGCTTCAAAGAAAGGTACTTCATTTAAAAGTTCTAATAACTGTTAATTATAATTGCCAAACGTTTCCAGTATTTGTAGTAAATAAATTTTTGCAATTGATTCAAATTACAAACACCCCCTCTATTTCGTTCAAAATAATAATTGAAATTGGTAGGATAATATCTCATAACATATCGCTTACTCAAACGTTGATCTTTTTTGAAACAGAAATTAAAGGAAACATGGAAATATGAGATAAATTACTACTACAATTTATAGGTTCTGGGCTAAACAAAATAATATTTCGACCTTTAGTACTTTGATACCGGTGATAGTGTAATCAATGGGTTGCCTAAACTATCAGTAAGTATAATCAGTATGTTAAGCCAAAACCATCAGTTTTGATAATAATTTCTTTCTAGATCTAACAAACTCTTCCAACTAGTTGCGGTTACTGTACAGGGTAATTCATAAAAATTCAGTATTTTAAAATTCTAATTATCTTACAAGTTCAGATATGGCGTGGGCCCTAGAAGTGTTATTACTAGTTACATCTATAAGTTTTGGTTTGCTTTAATGTCAAAATGATATTTGTTATAAATATCTATAAAGTGCACTTTATGCTTATAAAATAAGCCTGCCAGGCGTTCACTGTGCGAATTCTGTTTTGATTACGAATGATTATAATTCTCTTTATTTGTCTTGTGTTAGGTAACTGCAAAGATATAATAAAGCACCAATTTCTATGAAGCGGAAATTCCTCTACTATACCATATACCTGAAAATAGCGCGAATTTTTAAATATAAACCTGTATAAATAGAATTTTAAATGTGGCACGAGTATACAAGAGTTTTTGATGTCTGATAACTAAACATTAGACTAGATTAGATCTGACATTAGTGTACGGTCAATAATGTTACTAAGAAATTTAAAAATAATAATTTAACTGTTAAATATATTAAAATAAATTTACCAATTTTGTTGCTAGTGAAAGGCGTACCTTAGCATATGCCTCTATCATTAAAATGGCATCCCATAGTAATCTCCGTCTTTTGTCAGTGAAAAGTGCAACATGTTTTACAAAGAAAATTCTGTATATGTATATAGTATATTATATTTGCATATTTCAAATAAACACATCATTCGTAGTATTTCATTTATGCAAACACATTCAAATTTGATAACATTATTTTAGATGATCAACAATTTAAAAAAATTGATAAATAACATCTACCATTGTAATCGAAATACATTTTTGCCAAGTTGTACTTCTCATTCACATGGGAAAAGCTCAACAATTCCACAATTTATTCATTTTCTATTTAATTATATAAATCTATTTATTTACCTAAAGTTATGAGTCACCCTGTACGCCGATTTTCGTAGTCATTAACACAATCGAATTAACCAAATCCCTTTTATCGCTTCTTATTAAAATTTGAATCTTTTAAATTTGAGGAAGGGCATATACTCTTCTGTCTTTTTAATTTTAGACAAAGAACTAAAGTGCTGACATGCTAATAAAATCATGCCCTCCTATCGCTATTTTGAATTGAAAAAGAAAATGTACAGGAATTCATACTATTTATATTAACAGGTCGAAAATTTGGAGGATCTTCTGAAAGAGAAAGATAATCAAGTGGACATGGCACGGGCGAGACTTTCAGCTATGCAAGCACACCACTGCTCTTCCGAAGGTGCCCTGTCGTCTCTAGAGGAGGCTATTGGAGATAAAGAAAAACAAATGAATCAGTTACGTGAGCAGAGAGATCGGGCCGAACAGGAAAAGCAGGAAGAAAGAGAACTGCACGAAAGAGAAATAGCTGAGTACAAAATGAAGATCCATGCACTGAACAGCGAAGTAGAAAAACTGACGGCTAGATTAGAAAGAGCACAAAATGACAGAGATCGTTTAGAAACAAAATTAGAAAGCTCCCAGTCAGAATTAGGAAAATCCAAGGCGGAACTGGATAAGGCTGCCGTCGAAGTTGGTCGCAGCGGTGCTGACTGGGAAGCTGCACGACAGCGGTTAGCGCGATTAGAATTAGAAAACGAACGCTTACGAGGAGAACTCGAGCGTACTCAAACCAGTACCTTCGGCAGAACGTCCTACAGCAGTTCTCACGAACTTGACAGAGCTCAAGAGCGTGTGGACAAAACTTCGTCAGATTTGAGGAGGTGCCAAGCTGAGTTAAGAGTTACTCAAGCTGATAGCGAAAGAGCTCGCGCAGAAGCTACAGCTTTACAAGAAAAACTTGAAAAATCGCAGGGGGAAGTATATCGCCTCAAGGCCCGATTAGAAAATTCTCATCAAGAACAAGACAGCCTTCGGGAAGAACTAGAGAGAGCCCAGTCCACTACAGCGAAGTTACACGCAGACAAGGATCGAGCATATGCAGAATTGGAGAAGGCGAGAGAAGAGCTGGAGCGTACTTCGGCGACCTTGGGAAAGGCTCAACTGCAACAAGACAAACTTCAGAACGCTCTAGACAAAGCACAGACGGAGGTCGACAAGCTACAAGAAAAACTAGACAAGTCACTTGGAGAGACCAGACGGGTAATTAATTTCACAAGTTAAAAAATATCCACTCTAACTTTTTTTAATCACAGAATTTGTTTTCTTTTTTTGTTCATTTTTTTAAGAATGATAAAGTTTATTTTTACGTTTGCAATAAATATCTGTTCGTTTTATTATATTAGAAAACCAACACTGATTATTATATCTTTTTAAGATACAACTGGAGAAAGAAAAAGTAGGATACGATTTAGAGAATATCCAGTCGCAATTGGACAAGGTTCTAGGCCAATCTGCTCGTCTACAGAAAGAAAAGGAATCTGCTCAAGTAGAAGCAGATCGACTTAGAGATAAATTAGAAAAAACTCAAGTATTATAAATATTTTAATTAAATGATTTGTTTTTCAATGTGTATGTTCTAGAATACGATGTCCAGACTACAAAAAGAAAGAGATAGTTTCCAAGATGAATGTGAAAAGTTGAAAGAAAGAGTAGAAATGCAATTAAGTCAAATTGCTAAAGTTCAAAGAGAACGCGCTGACATAGAAACAGAGATAGATGTGCTTAAAGACAGATGGGAGAAGGCACATTCTCTGCAACAAAAATTACAAATAGAAAGAGACGATGCTCTTACAGAGGTTGACATTCTAAAGGATAAATTAGAAAAGGCTATTTATTCATCACAAAAAGCTATAGAAGACAGAGAAAGTATGCACAAAGAGTTTGAGAAAATATTAGAAAAATACGACAGGTGGTTTTCAGTGAAACATTTCGTGTAACTTTTTAATTACACATAATTATGTTTTAGGTCACAGAGCGACGTATACAGATTACAAAACAAATTGGACACACTCCAAGCTGATAAGGAACGGCTTGAATTAGAAGTGGAAAAGCAACAGCTCCTTTCTACAAAAACACGCGAGGATCAACGAAAACTGCAAGACGAGCTTCAACGAATTCAAGAAATGTATGACAGGACATCTATGCAACTAGCTAGATCTAAAGAAATTGAAGAAAAGTCTAAAGAAGAATTAGAACGCATGGCCATTGACACAGAAATGATTAGAGAACGATATGAGAAAGCACAAATAGAAATAAGAAGATTACAAAGCGAAAAAGAAAAACATCATTCTGACAACGAAAGATTGCAGTACGAAGTGGAGAGAACACACGGACAACTTGCAAAAGTGCAAGCTAGTTACGAAAAAAGTCAAGAAGAAGCAGCTAGACTTCAAGTTGAATTCGAAAAGGCTCGTGATAAGCATGATAAGCTTCAGAATGAATTCCGTAAAATTGTCGCTGAATACGACGCATTACGTGAAGCTACTGGCCCTTCGCGTGATAGATATTCGAAATATGATCGAGAAGAAAGAACAAAAGAGGATAATGATAGATTGCGGGCAGAAATAGATAGGCTGAGAGAAAGATTAGACAAAACTCTAGGAGATTTGGATCGATCTAGAAAAGATCTTGCCCTTGTAGAAAATACCAGAGGTAAATTTACCTACGAGCAAGAAATGGAAAAGAATACAGAAATCGAGAGATTAAAGGATGAACTACAGAAATCACATAATACTAACCAACAACTTGAAACTAAACTTCACGAAGTTTCAATGCAGTTAGAACTGGCTCGTGGAGAAGTAGTTAAACTATCAAGTGCACAGGATAAACAACGACATGAGATGGAGCGTGCTGTTATAGATTGCGAAAAATTAAGAGACCGTTATGAGAAACTCAAATTGCAAACGGAGAAATTAGAAAAGGATAATGAGAAACTAAGAATGGAAGTTGCACAAGCTGAAAGAAGGCAAACTCTAGCAGCAGATAAGGTTAGAAATGACGAACGTTTGGAGATTGAAAGATTAAAAGAAAAATTAGAAAAAGCCATACAGGCTAGAGATGCCACTGAACTGGAAGCTGGAAGATTGGCCCAGGAGTTGGAAAAATCTCAGCAACATTTAGCAAATGCACTTCAAACGAACGAGGCAACAAAAATAGAATTCGAACGAATGGCTAATGAATTAGCCCGGATGCATGAAAGAATAGAAAGAGATAAATTGGACTGGAAAACTATGGAACAAGAAAGAGACGTTCTACGTGCTGAACTTCAACAGATTAGAACTGGACTTGATTCTCAAAGACGAACGCTTGATCACAGAACTCAAGAAACAATTGTCAAACTTCAACAAGAACTAGCGCAAGTTTCAAGGGAAAGGGAAAAAATGGCTGCAATGTTAGATAAGCAAGGAAGGCAAGGTGAATCAATAGAAAAACAAATTATTAAATACGAAGCTGATATAAAACAACTAACCATGGAAAGGGATCAACTTGTTAATCAGTTAGAAAAATCACAGGATATGCTAATGAACTTCCAACAAGAATTGAATCAAAGCGAGGCTGAATTGGAAAAACAAAAGGCAGAAGTGGCCAGATTAAAGGCGGAACAAAAGAAAATGTCTCAAGATATGGAAAGAGGCACCAAAGAAGTTCTTGAGAACCGAGACAGGGAGATAGCACAACTTAAACAACAGTTACAAGCTATTCAGAAAGAAAGGGATACCCATCGCCAGAGAGCAGATAAAGCTGAAAAACTTTTACAGGAGTCAGGAGCTCGTGGAGACTCTGAACTTGAACAGTGGAGAAAAGTTGTTCAGCAAGAAACCGACCGAGCCGATCAAGCAACGAAAACTGCTCAAGATCTGCAGAAACGTATACAAGTTATGGAAAAACAATTGCAACAACAACTACAGCAAATGGCACAGTACCAGAAGGAGAAAGGAATTCAACCAGCTCTCGATGAGAAGGAAAATGCGAGGATAAGAAAAGATCTAGAGAAATGTCAGACTGAGCTTAAAAACAGTACAACAGAAAAGGAGCGACTGCAAGCGCAGCTTGAAATGTTAGTACAGGAACTAGAAAGAAATCAGGTTCGTTTCTACCTACTGTTAATATTTAATTTTATTTTATTTTTTAGTACAAAAATAAATGTTTTGTTTTTCTTATTTACGTTTTATTTTAACTGTACTTATGTTAACTAACCATTTCCTTGCAGAAATTTCTTTTTGTATTATTTTTCTTTCTTCTGACATACATATATTACACACAGTGTGCGTTATTAGTATATAAATAACACCCTGAGCATTATTTTAAGAGTTTAGTATCAAATATCAAAATACTTATTTTGTATTACTTTTAATTGTCATTTAGGTGATCTCTGATATTAAGAAAAATGTGCCAACAAATAAATGTTTTTCTTTCAGAAGGTGATGAAATTTTACTGCCAATTCATTAGTTATTACAAACTTTTTATTCAAATAAAAATATCTCATTGAATAATTTTCAACTTGATAGTAAGCTCTACCGTATATTTCACATTTATTTTTTACTTATTTTCTTCATTTCTGGATTCATTGCTATACCTACATACTAAATAATAATACTTTAGCTGGAACTTCATGAAACGCAAAAGAAGTCGGCTGCTGGTCCAGTTCAGAGACCTGGTGAAGATATATCTGCACAAAAGAGGCAACTTGATGAAGAAAGGCGACGATTTGAAGAAACTAAGAAACAAGCTGATGAACAGAGAAAAGCTGTAGATAGCAGACAAAGGCAAATAGAGGAAAAAGAGAGGGCGTTAGCTGAGCTAGATAAACATTTACAAAAACAAAAGCAACAAATGGACCAATTACAAGCTTCACTACAAAAGGTAAACTAATACAAACTTTTACATATAATTTTACAAATTATGTTATGTTTTACAGGCTGGAGGTAGTGCAGCTGCTGCTGGAGAATTAAATAAGAAGTTGGCTGAAGCTGAGAAGAAACTGGAACAAGCGGAGGAGGAAACAAAGCGATCAGCTGCAGAAATGGAAAGGCTACTGCAACTAGTTCAGATGAGCCAAGAGGAGCAGAACACGAAGGAAAGGCAAATAGTTGAACTACAACAGTAAGTCGTCCCTCTCTATAACAATTTATAACAGATTAATTACCACTTGCAACTTATTTCAGAGCACTGAAAAATGCACAGGCTAAACTGAAAAGTCAACAGCAACAAGCACAAAAAGAAGAGGTAATAATATTGTGGTTTATAGTATAATGTAACAGAAACTAATATAGTGTTTCCCTTTCTTGCTATCTTGGATCCGAACGTATGTATCTTAGGCTGGACCTGCAGGCTTCTTGAAAAGCTTTTTCTAGTCTTGTCATGTTCCTCTTTCATTACAAACAATGTTGCCTCATTCCCATTACTTATCCGCTCCATTTTTTATTTAATTTATTGTGTGAATCAGAGCTATGTTTTGTATATGTTTTAATGTTTCCCTTCCTTTGCTTAATAATAGGAAACAAGAGATGGTGATCTCATTATTTACAACTTGCGAAAAGAAAATACTGACGAATCACTAAAAAATGAGCTCAAATGCAAAGAAGATTACATAGTTGAGCTCGAACAGACTTTAGACTCTTATGAAGTAATTATAAATGAAAATAAAAACGATAAAAATGTCCTTGAGGCTACGATACGAAACAAAAATGATATTATTTCCGATTTAGAAAACAATTTTACAAATTTGGAAAATATGAAACACTTAAAACAGGATATTGATAAGAAAGAAATGAAAATACATGAATTGAAAGAAAAAGTGAAAAAACTTGAAAGTGAAGAAGTTAATATGGAAAAATTAGAAGAATTAGTGGAACTTTCAGAAGAAAAAGATAATCGAATTAGTGAATTAGAAGATGCTCTTAGGGAAACTATAAAACTTTCCACGGAAAGAGAAATTGTTTTGCATCAGGAAGAAAGCAAGCGAAAACAAATTATGGAAAAAGTAAGTTATAGCAAGCTTAATAAAATTATTTATTTCCTTCCCTATATTCAACATAGCTACCCTATTATGGTGGAATCTCGATGAAATTTGACAATTTTCACATTCAATGAATTTCCATTATGAATTTCAATAATTGATTTATGACATTTAAATCAAAAGATAAATAAAAAATGCTATAAATCTCGCCTGTACTCACTATTTAAGTATACAGATTACTTTAAACTGGACACGATAACATTGCTTGAAACCATAAGCGAAATGTTCGTTTGAACAAGATAATTCTTGTTTCTCTATTATGTGAAATAGCAACAATCATTATCTTCAATTTTTTGGGATTATAGAACTCAACAATGTGATTTTTCTTCAAGGAAACATTTACATTTTTTTTACTTTACATTCAGAAACTTTCATTTCAATATTTTCAATTTAACAATAATGAGTATTTAGAGTTTTAAAGGTACCTACTCTAAACTTACATTAAAGTATTTTTTTTTAGCCTTCGTCTTAAAGTTAAATTATATTCCCGTTAATATAGGTACGTATATTTTTGGAATATTGAAACAACTTGATATCCTTTCCCATCACTTTGCTAGCTTTTTTTTTAATATATCTTAACATGTTATTTGTATTTAAATAAACAAATATTAATTTAATAATGTTTTTGAATATAAAATCGTAGAAAAATAACACGAAACAAAATTATTTCAATAATGTTGTCATTTATAAATTCTTTTTGAACATTTATGAGTGAAAATGATTCCAAGACAAGTTTTCTATTTTCATGTATTTGTTCAAATAAACCTGGGAACCAATATTCAAACATTTTGTTTTTTACCGAAAAAATCGCACAAATGACTTCAAATTTCTCTTCAAAAAATTATTGTGCACCAAGCTACAATTTCTGAGATAGCAATGTCATCGAATTAGAAAGTTGTCTTTGTTTATTTGGGCATTCTGCAACCTGAGGAAAATAATTTAAAAAATTGATTAAATTAATCCTTGCACTGAAAAAATCTTTTAAGGGTTGTTTTTATGAAATTATTTTTGCTTAAGAGTCCGTCACGCGCTTGAAATAAACCCATTTTAAGGGTTCGGCCCATAACAGATATTTGGAAAACGAATAAACATAGCGGCCCAAATAAAAAAACAATCGAAAGACAAAGTGTTTTCCTAATGCTGTCTTGTAACAGTTTTTTCAAAATTGGTTTCTAATTGTTTAAATTTAAAGAGTAAACTATGCAAGAAATCGTCATATTTACAATTTATTTACGTAAAAATAAAGGTTTAAATCAGAAATTGCTTACAAGAGGGAAGTGGGTCTATCTTTTAGCTTTGCAATGATTCCAAAATTATATTGATTTGATAAAAATTACTCAAAATTCTATGCTAAATCCCGAACGTCTACAACTTCAAAAACGAATATATTTACCCAACCTAGCTCAAAATGTTAATTAAACACTTGAAGAATATTCCTACATACAGTTATCATAATATTTCGTTTGTTCATCATTTTCGAGATCAGAAAAAGAAAAAGAAAGGAAGCTAGATGCTTAAAAAATTTCTGTTTCCCATTTTTTTATGATAACTACTATTCTGGCTCGTGCCACACTGCGTGTCAAATAGTAACATAAATATAAAATAAAAGAACATCCTACCTGACCTCGTTTGTTTTTTTTTTTAATGAAATCTTATTGTTAGTTCATAATAAATATTGTTTATCAACCAATTGTGCTTTTTAATGAAATATATTTTGAATATTCCTACATATACATAAGTATTTATTATAATATTTCGTTTGTTCTTAATTTTCGAGATGAAAAAAATAACAAAATACCTTATGGTGCGTTATGAAAAAAAAAAAAAATGTCACGCGATGGACTCGAACTAGCGATCTCGTGATTTGAAGAATGTGTCACATCTAGTGGATTTAGCTGTCAGGTAAAACTTCAAAATCGATTATCTCGGTAAATTATTAACGTTGCGTCGAACTATTTCGAAAAATTGTTATTCAAAGTCCAAACTACACGTACCATAAATATAAAAAATTACAAAAATCCGACTACCTTACCTGTTAGATTTAATGTCTATCCCTAGACGTAAATTATCAATGCTAATACGGAGAAGAGTTTGTAAAAATAACAAAATCTATTTTTTAATGGTAAATGGATAATATTGGATACCTGACCGTAGTTTTCTATTTAGATCAACTTTAAATAACGATTGTTGGTATTTTAAAAAATAAAGGTACTTTACTCTTGAGCAAAATTTACATTTTTCCACAAACCTCGTATACGACTGCAAAAAATTGAAATCTGATTATTTCATTTTGGATTTTAGGCCATGCAGAACTCTTCATCAAGAATAACTTTTTCTCATAAAACCAAAAAAGAGAAGGAGCGTTAAATTGACGTCCACGGGATGTCGGTTATTCAATTTTGTATTGCGATGAAATTTGTTTGTACAATTGCGGTACAATAATTGTATTAATTCTAAAGTGGCTCGTTTAAATCAATCTAAATACGTCCACTGTAAAATCATCGTAGTGGGAGAGCGACAGTCTCCGCCTCTAGCTGTAACGCTCGTGCACCCGACCCCGTAGCGATACCTTAGCAGTGTACAGAGAACGGACTCTTAACCGACAAACTCCCTCTGAAAGAAACAGATAAAAAAATACACATCACTTCACTTTAAAACATAGTTTCGAAAATTGACATATCTTAGAGTAACCACAAATATTCAGTTTCCCAATCCGATTTTCAAATTCGCTTTTGAAATCCAAAGGCAGACGAAATGTATAGAAAATGCACGTACAATGGGTTTCACTCGTGTGTGTTCCTCGTGTCTTAGAGGAGATAGGTCGATTTTCAAAATTGTTGTGAGCGAGTTCTTGATGAGGTCCACCTCACCATATATAGTTTCCATCTTTTATTTATTTTGTGTTATTCTATTGAATAACAGGATCGTTTTGCTAAGCCTACTCGTACATTCTTCCTTTTTAACACAGTCACGATTGTAAAATTTTCTACTAGCCTTAATATCAAATACAATTACCAATTAGTTGTCTCCAGTAGCAAGTAAAAAAAATAAACATTTTTAAAGACTATATATTATCCAAACTTTATATAAAAGGTTTTCGCAAAAATTATTAGATAACAGTTGTTGCTTTTGATGACTTAAATGCATGGTTAAAATTCTAACACTTATTTCTGGGACACCCACACATACAGGTTCGGAAAGTACCGATGGTCCATCTGCCATTACGTGAGAGCGATAAAGTAAGACATAGAAATCCGTGCGATAAAGAAAGATGGCTATAATGAAGGCGTCTAATAGTCACCGCCCATTTCGCCCTTCCACAAATAAGAAGTGGATCTTATTTGTGGAAGGGCGAAATGGGCGGTGACTATTAGACGCTTTCATTATAGCCATCTTTCTCTATCGCACGGATTTCTATGACCTACTTTATCGCTCTCAGGTAATGGCAGATGAACCATCAGTACTTTCCGAACCTGTATACCTACTTACATGAAAACATCTTAATTTATTTACCGTGATAGACTCCGTAAAATATTTCTAATATTCATGTTGAGATTATTTCTATTTGATAGACACTTTAGGCTTTTCTGCATATTTTTTCAGGTTACTAAACTGGAACAAAGGTTATTATCACTCCAGTCAGCACAAGCTATGCGTTGTCATTCTTGCAGACCATATGTTAACAGGATGACATCGTTAGAAATGAAGCTGAGTAAACTGATTGCTGAAAGAAGACAAAACTTACAGGAGCTTACCCATATGAAGTTAGTAATTAATATAAAACTATACAATATATCGTTAAAATAATCCATACATTTAAACTGAGAGTCGGGTATTTTATTTCATCTAATTTTAGTAGTGACTGTAGACGATGACCCATATTTAAGCTATGATGTTTAAACATTAATAAATCTCAAAGTTATTCATTATTTTAATAAGTATCTATTTCAATTACCATACAAATATGTATGTGGTAAAAAGAATAGATAAAAAAACATCAAGTGTTAACTTTCATGCTTATTTAACACTAATTTTACTTAAAACTGGTTAAGGTTATACAACTTTTACGTTTATTCGAAGTTAAACTCACCGCTTAATAGCGGCGAACTTTTGCAAAATCACCACTGAAGATGGTGAAACGTTTAGAAACATTGAATACAAGGATTACAGGATCACCATTATCTGAGAAGCAGTTCATTCATAGAGGTCTTAGAAGCAACAACACAAGCCGGAATGAGCAATAGGGCAGACCTAGAGACTCGTATAGCCTGTAGCGGGTCCGCCCCCATAGAGTTTAGCCCGAAAATAATAAAAGTAGGTCCAAGATACATAAACGAACAGAAATGAAAACCCTAGTTCCATTTTCTTATACGTTTCAAAACCGCATTGGTCACCATCCTAATTCTTTTTCATTTCTTTTACGATGTTTTCAACACTGCGCAACATATCCGTGAATTTTCCAATTCATGATGAGTTGATTGCTCCCACTTCGTGTTAGATGAAATATTACGTTTGCTTGTAATCTCCTCTCGAGTTTGGCAACTAAATTTTTTGTCCTCCTTTTAACATACATATAAACTCCATGATGAAGATCAGGGCCTTCTTAACCATATTGGGCGCTGAGGTGTGAAAATCAGCCTGCGCCTCCTTGCTAACAAAAAAAAATAAATTTAATTTATGTTCCATTTCTTTTATTTAATATTTACTGTACAATAAAGTTAGGGACATTTTTAAACATCGAATTCAATTTTTCTGGCTTTTAAGTTGGCAAACCTTTTAATGATATCGTCTGTTTTGAAATCTACTTTCAATTCGATACTCATGGGCAAATTTGTCAATCTATCTTGGGTCATGGTTGATCGTAAATAGTTCTTATTAATTTCAGTTTTGAAAACGACCTTTCGCCTTCTGCTACTGTCACAGCAAGTGTTAAATATACAGGGTGTCTCTAAAGGGTCTGTACAACGCTCTATCAGATATAATACGGCTGAAAATAACTTGATTTAACTAAATTTGCCTTTGTTCAAAAATTGATAATAACGGAGCTACAGGATGACAAAGTTGAAAAAATAAATAACTGTTGTTGTGTTCTGTTAATATACCGAATCTTTCATTTAACTGTAAGATAACCGTGTCAAGTAGCAAAAAGTAAAAATTTTGTCAAAGATCGTGTGCGCACTCGCTTGACTTCTCACGCTCTCTTTGAATTTGCCGCATTGGAATATAAGTTTAATTCTTGTATAATAATAATAAGAATTTAACTTGCACATCGCAAGTCGCAATCCACCAAGGCAAATGTGCCGAAAGTTGCATGTATTTCTAAACAATAGGTATTGGTGCCTATATTTTTATAGATATAATAAATGTTTGTTAAGTAATTCCAGGGTGCCATGTACCCCTGGGTAAAGACGGACCTGATAAAGATAAGTCTCATTACTAATATCGAACTGTTTACAGTGTAGTAATTTGTAGAGAACTGATGACATACACAATAAATATAGGTACTTAAATGCGCTAGGTAATGACTACAAGTTTTTTTATTCTTAGAGATTATATTAGGCGTCCTCTAGTAAAAATATTCCTGAATTCGACCCTATTAGATACCTGTTAGAAGCCAATGCATAGGTATCTTGAGCGAGTCCAACTCACCCGCAAACTTATGCCTGTTGACCTGTTGTGGACAGACGTGAACGGCGACGGAAAAACTACAAATATAGTATATAATATTATATTAAGGTAAAGTAGCCAGGAAATAACACTTTTTCAAATGAAACATATACTACATTTTCAGTTTTTTTTCTGGTAAAAATTATAATCAGAAGCGATTATCTGGGTGTTAATCTTGAATGTTACTTTTAGCTTGTGCATCGTGTAATATGTGTAATATCCACATATTTTACCTCGTCGTTTTTTACCATTCATTTTCTACTATGTAGATTTCCTTTCTAATTTATTTATTAGGTAAATAGGTACATAATGTCCTTGAGGGGCGCGTTTTTCGCTTAATTTTCAGTGAATTTGTAGCAGAGTTTTGACGAAGAAAAAAGGCAGGTTTTTACATTTTATGTTTATTATTACGTTTCCTGAGCTTTACACGCCTGTTGAATGTACAGAAAATGGCATACAATTCTATAAATATAATCATCCCCTGCAGAATGCTATTAATCACAATTATTCAGTATTTTTACAAAATTGTTTACATGGTTGCACATGTTTTCTGTGATCTTTCACTGCGAAAAATTAAAGGAATCTTTATTTTTCAACATTTTTTTATAGTTTTGATGGGTTTTTTTGAACTATCATTGTCTTACTAAAAGTGTGATTTCTTGTCTATAAAACGCTATGGAGATAATTAAGAACGAGATCCAACACGTAATTTCGTTGCAAATTTTTTCAAAGCAATTTTTCTTGGTATAACCGCTTTCTATATGAAATACTCTTTACCGAAAAGAAAATCTTGTTGAATTTATGCATTATTTTATAGACGCACTCTATAAAATCTGTTCAAAATTAACAAATTTTAAAATCGAGGTTTCCAACAAAATAATAATTTCCTTCTTTTCCTTAGAATGTGACAAGCTGTGACCTCTTTAACGGAAGTCTATAATAAATTATATATAACCATCCCTTATTAATTTACCAGTTTCCAATATTTGCACTTTTCATCATATTGGATGAAAAGAGCAAATATTGTCTACAAACTATCATTAATTGACTCAAGAACGATATGCAAACAATGTACCAAATAATAAATTGGAATAAACGACATTTTTTAGTTATTGTACAACCACTTAAAAGTAATCTCATTTTAGACGAGAAGCACTGGAAGCAGCTATTAGCGAAAAGGATGCTCATCTAGCTTTACTGGAAATGACTGGAATAAGAAGTGCTCGTCAGGCTGAAGAAGTTGACCGTCTTCGAACAGATAAACGACGATTGGTTGAAAAACTTAAGAAAGAGGTAAATATAGTTTCTATTCATTTGTTTTACAGTAAAAGGGGAAAAATAGTACTCCGACTCCTAGTTCAATAGTCTATTCCAGTTCAAAGTTTGCTTTTATACATATAACATGTTAAAAAAATGTAAATCAAAATTAAAGTACAATCCGGTACCGCTTACCTTTTTCCCGTCTCTATTCTTCTGTACCTTGAATCAGTTGAACAAACTAACGACCTGAGACAGCAGAGTCACTCAACTGGGTGTAGGTAGGATAAATCTTGATCGTTCACATATCAAATACTGCAGTAATACTACCGCGAATGATGACGATTAATTTAAGTTTATGAGGTTATGCTATGTTCTAGAGCTCCAATTCAAAACGTATACAATTAATTAATTTAAAAGTTGAAGAAACTTAAATTTATATTGATGAATATAAATACATATACAGGCTGTTACAAATTCTCTTGCCACTACAGGGATCTCGGAAACAGTAAGAGGTACGAAGTAGTTTAAATGGGGTCAAAGTTGCGTAATCAAGGGACCAACATTATACCTCTAAAAAATCATAACTAACATGATTAGTTTTCGAAATATTTAAAAAAACCGAAATTTCGGAAATCCGTTTTTGTTTCATTTCAGCCTTGTTTGAGGTGATATTGAAAAAAGAAGAACACTTTCTCAAGGCCACTTTTTGCCCTCTATCGAATGGCATAATCAATTTTTGTATGTAACGATTCATCTCTCCAGGACCATCATCAACTTAATTTTTTTAAATACGACCCTGGAAATTTTATTACATTTATTGCAAGCCTTCATGACCCTCGATACTGTACTGCCTCAAACCGAATCAGATTTAGACGTTTTGTCTCGAAAAATTCATCTTCAGTGTATTCGTTCCAAATTTATCTAATTTTTGTAATTAGATTTCTTTGTTTATTGACAAACTTTGCCCCCATTTAAGCTACTTCATACCTCTTACCATTTTCGAGATCCCTGTAGTGAGAAGCGAATTTGTAACAGCCTGTATATGAATATGAATATGCGACGCTCCTAGTCCAAGTTTTTATTAATTTGTTTCTAACAAACCATTTATATATTTTTTATTTATTTTTTATTTAATTTTTTTTATCTCCTCAATTAATTTACAACCAGGTTCATATTGTGTGTGTGTGTGTGTGTGTGTGTGTGTGTGTGTGTGTGTGTGTGTGTGTGTGTGTGTGTGTGTGTGTGTGTACAGCCTTAGTACAGTGAAGTTTGTATTTCAACGTCTCCTGCTTAATTACAGTTTTTAGTGATTTATATTGACTAAGAATTTTCGCATTTGAAGCTATGTATCTTATCCTAAACTTATTAAGTTGCTGATGCTTCGTTTTGTTACAAATCTTGAAGAATTAGAATTGGACTTACATTCCATTGGTACCAGTAGTGAAAAAAGTTGAACATTTATCAGTGTTTGTTAAAATAAAAACTCTTAAGGCATCCATACACCAGCAGATTTGTAGTGATTTATATAACGAGCGTTCAAATAAAAACGTGGTCGAAGTTGGCTCTGACACATTGGACGTAGGGAGTAGCTTATAGCGACCAACTTAACCTCATTTCTCAACGAGCTGTATAGCAGCTTGTCAGTTTCAATAACGTTAATGACTATATAACTTTATTTTAAAGAATAATCGTGATAACAATAACAAACAATTAAAGGAGCTGTGGAAAGTGTCCCCCTCCTTGTTATAACAATAAATTAAAGCAGCTGCTGAAAGTGCCCCCCTCCTTGTTCCAAGCACTTTTCACACCTGTTCCTCAAAGAATTAAAGATATTTTCTAAGATGCTCGGGGTATTGTTAATTTCACGAATCTTGTCTATAAGTCGAGCCTGCAGATGGTTTAAATCAGGAATAGGCAGTTCAAAAATAGTGTTTTTAAGGTAAGGCTACAAAAAGAAATCACACGGCGTAATATCACATGACCTCGGTGGAAATTCATGTTCAGCATTGAGACTTATTAGTCGATTTTGGAAAACTTCCCTCAACATATGCATCGTCTCGCCTGCCGTATGTGCCCTTGCGCCATCTTGTTGAAAATAAAAGTTTGTAATTTCGTTTTCTTCCAGCTGGTTAACAAAAGGAGCAATAATTTCTTCTCTATACCTTTGCGCAGTAAGAGTACCATTAAAAAAATAGGTCCATAAATCCTCCTTCGATTGAGAGCACACCAAACTTCAATTTTTTGAGCGTGTAGAGGGCCCTCGACAAAAAAGTTATCTGGTTTTTGAGAAGACCACATTCTCATATTCTGTGAGTTTACGTAACCACTTAAATGAAACCAGGCTTCATCAGAAAAAAAGGTGATACTATGAAGTTCACCGTAGTTGTTTAAAAACCATTCACAAAATACAGCCCGTCGCGGAACTTCATGAAGTTCTTGCTGATAAGTTAAACGATAGGAGAACAAACGAAAATCTTTTTTTAACACTGTGTGGCAGGTACCGACTGATACTCCCACCATTTGTGATAAAACACGTACAGAAGTTCTTGGCGCATTTTCCATTATTTGTTGGACATTTTCTTTTAATTCTTCAGTCCGCTTTTTAGGTCGGCCGCTTCCGTCTTTTCTTATTACACCGCCCGTTTCACGAAAAACATTAACACAACGCTGGACTGCAACAACGCCGGGAAATTGATTTTGAAATTCTATGAAACATTCCTCAATAGAATACTTCCATATTCCATCAATCTTGCGTCCATTTCTAAAGTAGGACTATGATAAACAGTTTTTGTTCTTGAGAAAACACCAACGCCCTACGTCCAAATTTTCAGAACCAACTTGACCACATTTTTATTTGAACGCTCGTTATAATGCAATGGATGAAAACATTTGTACTAAATGTAAGGAAAAATTTAAAGGTGACACAGGTTTGAAATGTGCAGGAGTATGTGGAAATATTTTTCATGTAAAGTGTGCTGATATTAGTACGAAAGAATTTATCGTAATAAAAAATTTGCAAGGGCTTAAATGGCTTTGTGAAGGATGTTTACCGTTTTGGAATTTTTGTACAACTATGACTAAAGAATTCACCGAATTTAAACTCGCCTTGTTAAGTGAAATACAAATAATAAAGACAAAATTAGATAGTTATCCTAAATCAGTAAGCGCTAAACCTGCCATTTCGTATTTAAATATAGTATCCGGAGAAGCTATTGTTATTATGCCTAAATCTAAACAAGCCTGTAGTAAAACCAAAGAAGTTGTTACGAAAAAAATTAATCCTTCAGAAATGGAAGTTAATATCACCCAAGTGAAGAACATTAAAGATGGAGGAATATTGATAAAGTGCAAAACTAAAGAAGAATCTGAAAAAGTACGCTGTGAAGTAGAAAAGAATTTAGATAAACAGTATCAAGTAAAAATACCTCGACAAAGAAACCCATGTTTAAAAGTTGTTGATATAGAGGAAGATATAGATAATGATGAACTGTTGGAATACATCAAAAATCAAAACCTATGTATAAAACAGGATAAATTGAACTTGAAGGTGGTGACGATAAAGAAAATGGTGAAACGTTATATGGCCATTCTGGAGTGTGATCCGATTACTCATGCAAAAGTTCTTGAAGAAGGGTCCATTTGTATCGGATGGTCACCTTCCTGTAGAGTGTTTGACTGTGGAGGTTTTAATCACAAATCAAATGATTGCAAGGTCCACGTATGTGTAAAGTGTGGTGAAAATGACCATAAAAAAGAAAACTGTCAAAACGAAACTTTAAAATGTTTAAATTGTTTAGAGGCTAAAGAAAAATTAAATCTAAATATCAGTGTTAATCATTCACCCTACGATATCAAAAACTGTGTAGTTCTGCAAAGAAAAATTGATATTGAAAAACAAAAAGTTCGAAATGAACCATTATTACAGCAATCAAATTTGAAGTTGATTAAAGATTTAACCATCTGCCATCAAAATGTTCAATGTATTAGGAACAAAGTGGATCTTGTTGAATCATTTTTAGTTGCAAATGACATTGACATAATCTGTATGTCAGAGCACTGGCTATCAAAAGATCAGATTACACTGTTCAGGGATATAACTTAATTAGTATATTTTATAGGACAAATTATAAAAATGGAGGGGTTGCAATACTCTGTAGAGAAAATAATCATCTGAATGTTGTAGAAATAAAAAATATTAATTTTATAGCAACAGAAAAATTATTTGAATTTTGTGGCATTGATATCATATTAAGCAATAACGTACATTTGATTGTAGTATGTATCTACAGGTCTCCTAAAGAAAATGTAAATTTATTTTTATCTGAATTGAATATATTTCTATAAAAATACACTGAGAAATTTAATTACACAGATACTGTGTTGTGTGGAGATAAATATTGACTACCTAGTTAATACTACATTTAGAGATGATATCCACGATATTATCAACTTAAATGGCTTTGTGAATCATATAGATAGGCCAACAAGATGCACCTTGAATTCTTCTACTGCAGTAGATTATATGTGTACTAATTTTGACCAAAATGTATTTGATATGTCTTCAGATGTTATATTTAATTGTATATCTGACCACTCTGCGCAAATTGTAAAATTACGATGCAACTGGGAGTTTTATAATGACAGTATTAGTAAAAGGGTTTTTAGCAGTCATAATTATTATACCTTCTTTGATTACTTAAGTAAGGAATATTGGAATGACATATATCAATGTAGTGATGTTAATCAAGGTTTTTATTGTTTTATTAATATATTGAGGTATTACATTGATATATCTTTTCATATAACTAAAATTCAACAAAGTAAATGTCGAAGTAAAATGTGGCTAACGGCAGGTATTAAAGTATCATCTGAAAAATTAAAAATGATTTATAAGAATATGTGCACTACAAAAAATGCACAGGATATCGAGTGCTATAAAAAATATAAAAAGGTTTATAAAAAAGTTATCACAGCTGCAAAAAAACTACACAATGATAGAATATATCAATACTCTAATAATAAATGTAAGGCTGCATGGTCCATAATAAATACCTGTTTAAATAATACAAAAAAAATAATGACATATCCCAAATTTTACTTAACAA